CATATTTGAACTATTTTATTTTACGAATAATTAGATAATGCTGATAGTTATAAACGTGCGTAGGATATTCACGTAATTCAAGACCAATTAAATATATTTCTACAAAAAAGAAAAGAAATTTTTTATTTTATTTGTTATTGCATAGAACTATTTGATAATTCAATGAGAAAAACAATATAAATTAGTATAGATGTACCTTCTGATGCAATATTTGACACATTTTTTTCCTCATCAAATCAATATATTTCACAGTATAATGTTATAAGAACCAAATAATAAAGCGTTAAACATTATATTTTTAGGCCAGATGTCTCAGATTATTTGATTCTGAAGCAAAAAATATTAAAAATGTTTATATTTTCAGACATTTAGTCCTTTTGTATAAATATTACGAATTATATATCAGTAATAGTTATTTTTTCACCTTTAAACATCCAAGAGTTGCACCACATATGAACGCTTGAAGTTTGAATTTTAATTTTTGTAGTCGGAGAATATTTTAATACATTTCCAGTTGTCTTCGTTCAGAATGTAACTATCAATAATCTATTTAAGTCAGCAAGGGCTCATATGGCGAAGGTTGCTGGTGTTATTAGTGTTATTAGTGTTAGAGGTTGGAATGGTTAAAGAAAATCCTTCTCCTTAGTTCCTTATTTTTTCTTCTAAAAAAAATGTAAGAATAAAAAAAAATAATAGTAATACAAATTTTTTGAAATACCCTTATAATGCAGTCTCAATTCTTCGTGCTCAATGGCACTTGTTCTAATTCCTTCGTTCCAAATGTAGGTCGTCAATTCTTCTTTCTGCATCTTAATATGCCGATTCTATTTAAGTCAGCAAGGTCACACTCCGGAGGTTACTTGTGGTGTTAGTGTTACTTGTTGGTTGTTTATGTCATTGTCGTTGAGCAAGAAGTTGGAATCAGTTAAGATTTTCTTTAACCAGTTCCAATCTCTAGTTGGTATTGTTGTTGTTATTGGTGAAAGCGAGTAGCCGCTTGGACTTCTGGCGTTGTAATTCTTTTGTTTTCCTCGCTTAGGCATTTTTTGAAAACTTTAATTAATTTTCTACGTAAAGTCGATTTATTATATTAGAATTAATTTATACATTGGATGTTGCTTGTTGTTAAGCGGCGTATAGCCGTTTGGCACTTTCTAGAGTAATAATATTTTTTTGGTTATTAGTTAGACATATTTTTTTGGAAGAACTATTTTCTGCGTAAAGTCAATTATTAAATTTTGCTTACCTTACGCATGTAAAGTATGTGGAGTTCTTAATAATAAATTTTAATTACACAGATAAATCAAAATAAATTTATCATAAGGGACATGAGAAAAAAATATTCTCAAGCTCAATATATTTTTCTATACTTATTAAGAGAAGGGAGGAAAAGAATGCAAGGCCTTGTAGTGTTTGCTTTTTATAATAAAAAAAATGTTGTGTAAACTCTAAACTTTCGAATATTAATTTTAATATAATAATTTGATTAGCGCAGCGAACAAATCTTGATAAATGCGATTATTTTAATTGATCAGTGATCATTATCACGTGATATATTGAAAATCAGTTGAGATTTTTATTAAATTTAAATTAAAAATTATGTCGGTGTTGCTATAGTATAGCGGTATAAAGCACTTGACAATTCTAATCTCGAATACTGAAAAAAAAATATAAAAAAAAATATAAAAAAAAAAAAAATAAAATAAAATTTTTTCTTTAAATTTATATTTTAAAGTATTACATAGAGAACGATAATAGGTGATCGATCACATGATTTTTTTAAAAATAAATAAATAAAAGAATGTCCATACTCTACAGTCAGTATCACAGTCGAACTTGTATTAATCATTTGACATACTTTTTATTACATGACGTAACGCGTAAGAATCCTATATATTCACCTTGATTTTATAATTTATATATTTTGCAAACCCCTTTCTTTTTTTTTTAACATCAAGCATCATTTTATCGGTTATTTTTTTTTAACCGGGATTTTTAAACGGAAGTCGTGTGTGAAGAACACGTAAGGAAACCAGCAGGGATGTTTTCGCTTCCTTTTCCTTCTATGAAATATTTTTTTAAAAAAAAAATTGAAAATGAAAAGATTAATATCGAAGTAGAACAAAGGAGTATATATATACAGTATTTGGAGATTTTAACTTACGCTCAACGTCCTTGTTGAAGAGGTATGTTTCACATATATTGTTGGCAAGCCCCTGGATTAGTCCTTTGTGTGA